AGGGAGAGGGAGAGAGAATCTGAGTGTGGACACACATCTCCACGTTTTGACATCAGGAAGCGGCTGCGTGGCCCAGGAGAGTGAGTGCAGCACCTGGGGGGGGAGTCTTTCTTCCCGGGGAAACCCTGGCACTCTGTGTGACTGGCAGCTCGAATGGGCCAGGAAGGGGCTGGGGTGGAGCCTTGTGGAGGGCAGGGGGCGACTGCCCTTGGGAGATGCCGATGGACCCGCTCTCCCAGCCTGATGGACGTGGATTTGTGTGTTTTCCAAGTGCAATAACCGGTCACTTTCCTCGTGGGCCAAAAAGAGAGATTTCTGGTCTTCCTCGTTCCCCAAACCCGAAAACAAGGCACGGGGTGGCTCTTCATTTCTAACCTTGGGAGACACTCGGAAGAGTCACCTGGAAGCTTGGGGCAGTAAATTAGCACAGATGCTGGTGCGCACAGGTGGGTCAGCATCTTCATCCAGGGCGCCCCTTGCTGATGTGGGTGCTGAGTGCCAGTTCCCTCTGGCTCACCTTCCTCTTCCCCTCCCCCTTCTCTTCAACCCTCGCCTCTCTCTCCATGAGGCTGGCTTTTCTGTCCTCTCGTCCTGTACCTTTCTGGCCTTGTTCTTTGGAGGCCTCTCTCACTTCACCCCATCCTCCCCTCCCCCCAGCCTGGGCTCCCACCCTCCCCCTGGCTTTCCTCCCTCTCCCCCACCCCTGTGGCCATCCTGCTTCCCCCTCTCCCCCACTACACGCCCGGTCCCGGTCCCCCACCCACCCTCCTGCCTCCCCCCAGCCCAGCGCCCCAAATAGCACCAAGGCGCCCGCTCCTTGGACAGTGATTAATGATAGCAGAGCAGAGGGGTTAACACACTTCACTGAAAAGTCTGTTGACTGGGCTTCTTGTGACACAATGTGCCCCGCTGCACGCCTCAAGAGAATCCTTTTGTTGTCCGAGCTCATTGTCGCCGCCAAATTCTGCCCACGAAAGTTTGCCAACGCTCCTGCCCCAGGAGTTTAATAGTTTCCCTTACTCGCTGGGCATTGTGCGCCGCTGAAAAGCAGCCCCTCGCTATTCAAGTGTTGGTGGTCATCTCAATAGATCTCCGAGGGCCCATATGGTGGCCAGTGCCGATGAATCCGCCTGTTTAAATGGGGGAGAAAGTTGGGGTTTTAAAACATTTCAAAGTTCCTGAAAAGATCCCACTAGATCCTGTCACAATTCCCCGGACTCTTTGAAGGCGCTGCCTTTTGTCTCCCGGTTATAAATGATATTCCTGGCCAAGCCGATTCCCACCAAGGCGCTGCGAGCCGCCCCTCCCCCCTGACAGCCCGGTCTCCAGGATGGGGAGCAGGCTGCCCCTGCGGGTGCCCTTGGAAGCTTCGGCCTGAGACCCAGAGCCGGTCCTTCCCTTGAGACGGACTCCAGCCATGGGGCCAGACACAGGAGGACAGCTAGCCCAAGCTCCCCCTCCAAGCAGCAAGGCCACAAGGTCCAACTCGCCCAGTCTATGGGTGGAAATTACATTAAAAGTGGTGGAAATGCCCTAATTAAAAACGTACCACTTAAATGGTATGCCAAGCCTTCAGCCGCAGCGTCGCTATTTAGCGAGTTAGTGAACTCTCTCCTATTTCTTTTTTAAAATTACACGTTAAAATTTTAAAAGAAATCTTACTTTTCTCTGGTGCAACACATTACAAAGAATGGACAGTCCTTTTATCTAAATATAAAATTCCATTTTCAGCAATTATAGCCTGTTCTTGGTGATGATATAATTACAGCTGTGCTCGTAATAGGTGTCAAGGCAAAGCACACTCATACAATAGTTGAATCAAACTGCAGAACAATGCAAGCACTTTGAAATTCACAACCTTTAAAATGAAATTGACTGTGCAGAATTCAAATACAAACTAGATAAATATTTTTTTAAAACGATTACAAGCTTGGTTTGGTTTCTTAATAGCATTTTCTACAAACCTATCAACATCTAATTGATTAGATGGGAATCGCTAACTATGGATGGGCTACGCCCTGAACATCACTCCCCTGTTTCTCCAACAAGCCACAGGTACAGACGTCCCAGGGGGAGAGGAGAGGAGAGGCCATCCAGGGAGGGCTCTGAGGAGCCAGGACCGCTCCTGGAAGAGCATTTTAGTTGGGAACGTGGGTTTTGTTTTGTCATTCAAAGAAATGCCACTTAGCGTGTGTACCCAAAAGCCTCATCTTGATAGAAACAGACAGAAAGAAAACAGTGGTCCAGCAACGCTGGCCACTAATGTCTCGCATGAAAAGAAGGCTGACCCTGGCTGCCTTGGGGATGTCTGGGGGAGGCTCTGGGAGTTGCAGACCACACCGGCCCCTTTGGGAGGCTGTGGGGGAGTCTAGCTCTCTCTCACCGGCCTCCTTGTCTTGTTCCAGATGGCTGCCAGCAACAGGAAGGGGCGGGCGAGAACACCAACTCCATCAGCTCTAACGGGGAAGACTCAGATGAGGCCCAAATGCGACTTCAGCTGAAGCGGAAGCTGCAGAGAAATAGAACATCCTTTACCCAAGAGCAAATTGAGGCCCTGGAGAAAGGTGATCGAGTTTTTCAAAGTAGGGAAGCGCTAAATCAAAGCAAATGCCACATCTTCAGCACAAAGAGCTAAATTTAGCCCGGGCCCTTTGCATAGATGGCTGAAAAGGTTTCTTTTTTCTTTGTGTCTTTTTATTTTCTCTGGGCATCTTTTCAGTGTGTGTATGTGTGTGTGTGTGTGTGTGTGTGTGTGTTTTCTTTCTTTTTTTCGTATAGCAGTAATTCAAAGACTTGAAGTCTGGCTTATAAAGGAAAAATGATGAGTTGGCTATTTCAGGCCACAGAAAGGCCACTGAATGTCATACCAAAGAAAACATCACTTGGTTCTGCTGTGGGAAGGTTCTTCTTCCAAGTCCAGTCAACACAGTCGAAGTGTTTGAAGGGGAGCTGGTGGGAGGTGACAGCGTTTGAAGGGGAGCTGGTGGCAGTGGGCAGGTGGAACCCAGCCTGGTCTGGGGCTTGGCCGACACATTTTGTGTGGTTCTGGCGTAACACGGAAAATCTACTTCCTCTTCCAGAGTTTGAGAGAACCCACTACCCAGATGTGTTTGCCCGAGAAAGACTAGCAGCCAAAATAGACCTTCCTGAGGCCAGAATACAGGTACGGGGACTGTGCGGCATCACGCTGCGTGATGTGTGCCCTCTGCCCTCCCTGGAGACCAAGGTGCCCCCATGTGGGCTGCCCCAGGGGGCCGGGCTGGGGCAGGCTCAGGGCTAACCGGCTCCATCTGGTTCCCAGGTATGGTTTTCTAATCGAAGGGCCAAATGGAGACGGGAAGAGAAACTGAGGAACCAGAGGAGACAGGCCAGTAACACACCCAGCCACATTCCCATCAGCAGCAGTTTCAGCACCAGCGTCTACCAGCCAATCCCGCAGCCCACCACCCCCGGTGAGTGGCGCTGCGCGTCCTGCCCATGGAGACCTTCCGGCCCCTGGCCTGGCCGGCTCTCACCGCCACGCCCTGTCCCTCTTGTCCCCCACAGTGTCGTCCTTCACATCCGGCTCCATGTTGGGCCGGACGGACACAGCCCTCACCAACACGTACAGCGCACTGCCGCCCATGCCCAGCTTCACCATGGCCAACAACCTGCCTATGCAAGTAAGCGGCCGCCCGTGGGAGGAGGGGGGCCGGGCCGCACCCCGGGAGCCTTCTGCGCTGCGGTGCTGGCTGGACCAGTCAAGTCTGAGGCTGTCGATTCAATCTCTTTGAATTGATCGGCTCATCTATTCGTGCTCTGAACAGAAGCACAGACCTGACCCAGCCTGCTGAGTTGAGCTGCGTGTTATCGCGGTGAGGCCAGTTTGATAGTTGGGGGGAGGGCATGCGGCAGGCACCCATGGAACTTGGACCCAAAAGGGGAAATGATGCGGACACGTGATGAGGCAGAAAGCGGAAAGGCTAGGAGTTTTAACTTCAGGCTCACGTTAACGTGCTCATATTAACCTGCATGCAATCTGTGTATGCCTCTGAGGCATTATGTAGGGCATAGGGGACAAAGCAGAAAAGGGTTAGAAATGGATTCACACTTACATGGCGGGATCTACTTACGGCAGCGGGAAATCGCATCTTCTCTGCATCTCACCGTAAGAGCAGGTGTGGAAGGTGTCTGCCAGGATTCAGTGTGTCTTTGTTGTGAGTCTTTTGGCCTGTTTGTGTCCCTGCCCTGGCTGCCGCTGTTCACTTGGTGGAGTAACCTGGCCCTCCTCTCCCTTCCAGCCCAAGCAACCCTCGGCCACTGGACTGTGAGGCCCTGGGTCCAGGCCTCTGCATATGGCTTGACTCGGGCAGGTGGATTGTGCCAGACATGTGTCACTGCGAGGACGCTCGATGGGGAAGAGACTGGCCTCTGGTGGGCCTTCCTCGGGCCCTGTTTATGCAACAATTAGGGATGTCGGGGGGTGTGAGATTGGCCTTAGTGCTGGGGTTATGCAGGTTGTCTGTTGCTGGAGTTCACCTCCAAATAACAGCTAATACATGTTTCTAGTGGAATCCAGGAGCAGCTGGGTCAGCACCTTTAGAGGGATTGTTCACAGGCTTATTTTTATTGCATCTGGATATTACTGGTCATAGAGCAATTGATGTAAAGTAAGGGATTAACAGCTCATTAGTCAGTGTTGCTATAACTGCCTTGGAATTTTCCAGAAGTCAGGTTGCCTAGAGGAAGTCATTGCAGGAGTTAGAAGCGAATGCAAACTGAAATTCCGGCAGGGCCCTCCAGGCCTGCTTGCCTCTTTGAACTTGACGTTTGCAGCCATCATCTGACTTGAATAAGGCCACAGAGTGTCTTCTTCAGTTTTACAGACTGTAGTCGCGTCTAGGGTTCTATGACGATAACAAGCTATGGAGATGAGAAAACCAGGAGATGGAAACCATTGGATTAAGGCTGTTCCTACACAGACAGTGGTGTGGGAAGGCAGTCTACTTTAACTGTTGACTTTTAAAAATCACAGTTTATAGGATTCAAGAAGTACATGCAGCCATTAGGCATAAAGAAGACCAAAACGATCGATCATTTTATAGTTCAGAGAAAACTTCCCTTTGAATCTTGGACTGGGCGGGCCAGTCTGTCCACCTCTTCCTTCTGTTGACCCAGGTGTCCAACCATCTCACAAAGGGTGGCATCTTCCTCCGAGCCTTCCAGGGTGGTGTGACCCTCGTTGAGAATGTGATCTTGGAGTGGCTGATGTTCTCCCAACTGCAGGGCAGAGAGATGATGGGGTGTTGTCTTGTCTTCTCCCTTGTCCTGCACGTTATGCTTCTATTAATTTATCTCAAGATGGCGCCCTGGCATAGCCTCGGGAGAGCCCGTGTGTGTGTGTGGGGGGGGGGGGGGCTTGGGGGGGCTTTGTTCCAGCTCTTTGCGTCCATATCTAGTTAGGAGAAAGGGCCACCCCCCAGCACTACCCTTCTGATCACGTAGAGGGTGGCCGCACAGTTTTACAGCTGAAACTCAGTCTGGACCTGTGGGGGTGTGAGGGCAGCACCGAGGATTCTCAGGGCAGGTGGGGTTGTATTTACTGACACCTCTGCCCACTTGAACCCGAGCTCATTACGGATCTGCCTCTTCAGAGACTCTTTAATCCCATGAGTCCAGCTGTGAAAGGTTTCCGAGGTCCCCAAACCACACTTTAAACTGAGAGCTCCTCCTCCTGCCCTCTGCCCCAAGCTTAAGATGTAGGTTTTGGGGGTCCTGGGGGGGTCCCAAATGGATCCAGGCTTGCCGGGAGCAGGGAGATGTGTTTGGGAAAGTTCTCAGGCACCAGGTTCTGCACAGATGCCAGCAGTGGTTGAGACATGAAAAGAGGAAGATCCCGTGGGCTTGGGGCCAGTGCCACCATCTAGCTCTGGACACTTGTCCCAGCCTCCAGCGCTTTTGTGGTCTGACACGTAGGGGCAGCTGTGCTCCAGCTGTGGCCCCTGGAAGGCCTGGTGGGAGGTCCCCTTCTAGGGTGATGTTCTGGAATTCCTGTGCTTTCCAGGGAGGCCTCCTTGGATCCTGGGGAGGAGGCAGCCTGGCAGGGGGCCGCGAGCCTCGTTGCTCCGTGACCACAGGTTTGCCTTTCTCTGCAGCCCCCAGTCCCCAGCCAGACCTCCTCGTACTCCTGCATGTTGCCCACCAGCCCCTCGGTGAACGGGCGGAGTTACGATGCCTACACGCCCCCGCACATGCAGACACACATGAACAGTCAGCCCATGGGCGCCTCGGGCACCACTTCCACAGGTGAGCCTCGGGGCCTGCGGGGGCTTACGCCAGAGTTGACCCCGAAGAGTTGACGCTGCTGGCCTTGCGGGGGTAGGGTGGGGTGCCCGGCTCTTCCCTGCCCTTGTCTTTGGGGAACACGGACTGAAAAGGGAAATCCAGTGACACTGGTTCGCGACTGACACCCTGTCGACAACAAGCACAATGGGTTTTCCTGAATTTGGGGCAAATGTTGAGGATGAGACAAGGCCCGAGGTTACGTTTCCTGAGGACAGCAGATGAGCCCAGGCAGGGCTCTTGGAGGGGCTCGCCCTAACTCAGGGCAAGCGTGCTGGTTTCCAGAGAGAGGCCACCAACCCGTTGTGCACGCAGGGCGATTTTTCTTTCATTGCGGGTAGGGAGACTTGGGATCCAGTTGGTCCCTAGACACGTGCTGTCTGGTTTTGGAGGGTTATTTGTAATAGCTGAACTATTTTTGATACAGTAGAAAATATTAGCGTATCAGGATCTTTTTAAACCGGTCACTTAGTCTCCCGCGCCTGTCTCTCCAAGGGAATGGCTACAAGGCTGTTTCTTTCCGCCACTTCTAGGTCTCATTTCCCCTGGTGTGTCAGTTCCAGTCCAAGTTCCCGGAAGTGAACCTGATATGTCTCAGTATTGGCCACGGTTACAGTAAGCAAAAAAAGAAAGAAAGGAAAGAAGGATTGTGTTCCTTTGGTCAGTGACTTCTGTGGACACCGTGGCTGGCGTTCAGGAAGGAAGGAGGATAGCTGGAGGAAGCACTTGGGTCTGCACCGTGTCCTGGGTATCACTGGGGGACAGACTTGAAACAAGGACCTTTGTCTGCAGAAGGCAGGATATCAGTTGGAACAAATCTTCATTTTGGTATCCAAACTTTTATTCCTTTTGATGTATTATTTGTAAATGGGCATTTGTATGTTATGATGAAAAAAAGAACAACGTAGCCTGGACGGATGTTTGATCTGTGTTGGTCATGAAGTCGTTTTGCAAAACAGGAAACCATGATCAACAGGGTCTGCCATGGATTGAAGAGTTTTATCAAGATATATTGAATACTTCTCCCCATCTGTTCATAGTTTATGGACTGAGGTTCCAAGTTTGTGTCATTCCTTTGCATATAATTAAACCTGGAACGACGTGCACTAGATTTATGTAAGAAATATCTGTTGGTTTTCCAAAGGTTGTTAACAGATGAAGTTTATGTGCAAAAAAGGGTAAGCTATACATTCAAGGAAGAAAAAAAGTTGATAGCTAAAAGGTAGAGTGTGTCTTCGCTATAATCCAACTTGTTTTATGTCAAAATGTAAGTATTTGTCTTCCCTAGAAATCCTCAGAATGATTTCTATAATAAAGTTAATTTCATTTATATTTGACAAGAATACGCTATAGATGTTTTATACACATTTTCATGCAATCATACGTTTCTTTTTTGGCCAGCAAAAGTTAATTGTTCTTAGATAGAGTTGTATTACTGTTCACAGTCCAATCATTTTGTGCATCTAGAATTCATTCCTAATCAATTAAAAGTGCTTGCAAGAGTTTTAAACCTAAGTGTTTTGAAGTGTTCACAACTACATATCAGAATTAACCATTGTTGATTGTAAAGACCATGCCAAAGCCTTTGTATTCCCTTTATTATACGATTTTCTTTTTAACCTTATAGTGTGGTGTTACAAATTTTATTTCCATGTGAGATTCGCATTCTAAGCCAACGGTCAGTTTCATACATACTTTATTTTACATCCTGATGATCTTTAACAAAACGATTCTTAGAGAAATCATACATCCGAAATGTGTTAGAAAAACAAACTTCCCCAAAGCTGTGTCATCTGTGCCCCCACACCCACAACCTATATGCAAAACGGCAGCATTTCCCCGTTGGCCATCTCACTCAGAAGCTCAAAGTCTAGAGATGACTTAAAAATGCAACAAGCTATGAACTAGGAATTGTTTTTGAATTAGGGCTGGCACTTTCAATCTGGGCAGATTTCCATTGTCAGCCTGTTTCCACAATGATCTCACTGAAGTACATTCAGAGTGGATTTCTTCGGCGAGGCTCTCTGAACGCGCTGCCTTTCTCCAGTGGGCCCGCTCCCTCGCCTGCCTCCGCCCGGCGCACAAGGGGCATCGGTCCCCATTGAGCCGCTACAGCTGTTCCATTCGAATCTTGCTTTCTGTGCGGTTGTGGATGGTTGGAGGGTGGCGGGATGTTGCATGTCAAGGCATAATGAGCACAGACACATCAACAGACAACAACAAAGCGGCCTGTGACTGGCCGGTGGGAGCGAAAGGCCTTCCGTCATTGGCAGCTCAAGCCAAACATTCCCGAATCTATGAAGCGCGGCCCATTGTCGGCCAGTTGCTATTTGCAATGAAGCACAGATTTGATCATGCTTAAAGTGGCGGCACGCAGGGCAGGAGTGCTTGAGCCCAAGCAAAGGGTGCAGAGAAAAATCCGCCTTTGTTGGGCAGAAAAGGCCTGAGACTTCGACTTGTTTGCTCTGTGCAACATACAAGTCAATATAGATAAGTGTTCTCCTGCAAACTTCAGTCCAAAGGCGGGGGGGGGGCTCTTGCAGTCTAGGTGAAATGTCCGAACATGCAGAAAGCTCTGGGGACAAACACATTTCCATGGAATTGTATTCTGCTTTGGTTTTTTTTTTTTTTTTAAAGCCCCAAAGGCAAATGATCAGGAATATAGGAATTAATTGGAGGATTTACCATAACCTTCTAGCGCCACAGCTACTGTTTTCCTGTTAAGGGATTACTCCGAACAGATCATTGGGCCTCCTTGGCCTGGCATACAAAGTTTTAATAACCGTATCTCACCAGACTTGCTGCACCTTAGAGATGCCTTCCAAGGCTGACTGTGGTTTTTGTGCATGTGCATGTAGCTGGATTCAGTGTTTGCCTGACGGTGACACACTTCTGTAGGGGATCGTGCACATGTATGCACTGTGGGCATGCATGCTCATGCAGACATTTCTACCTCCTGACATTCTTCAGCCTGTGTTCCTGAGGGACATGTGCTGGGCGCTGCTGGGGTCGAGCTCTGTGGGCCTGTGAGCTGCACCTGTGGGCTGGCTCGCCCCTTCCTGGCAACAGGGGGCTGTTTCCAGCCTGCTCTGCTTTGGGCTGGGGTCAGGCTGCCCGTCCTGGCCCATGGCTTGGCTGTGCAGACAACTGAGACTTTGGGGACCTGGGTGTGGCACGCAAGGTGCAAGAGCTGAAGTGGGAGGGGGTGGTGCAGGAGCCAGGGCCTGTGTGCACTTGGGCACGTACACTTGTCCTCTAGGGTCACGACTGCCAGGGCAGAGTGGCTCAGCGCTGTGGAGTCTGAAGACACGGCTGCTCGGCTGCGGACGCCCTCTGGTCTGGCAGGCTGGGGACGGCTGCCTCGCCTTCTGCCCACACCCCAGGGACACGAGCTGTCCTTCTGAGCATGGCTCCGCATGCTCTTGGGCCAGCACGGCAGGCGTGGGGGCAGCAGTGCCGGGCGGCGGCACGTGTTCGGCCGACGGATTGAGCGATAGGTGCATTGATCTGTTCAGCACTGGGACCCTGCAGGCGTTCTGCCGCCACCTTCCACCATGGACCACTTAGGAGGCCCTTGATAGGATCGCAGGAGTGGAAGCCTCACACTTTTCTCCAAATTTGACTGACTTGGGAGAACCAGGTGAATTAGAGTGGAATGTTTGGGTAATCAACACCCACATTACTCTAAGGGAAAAAGTCTTTCTACTGCAATGAATTTCCAGAATATTCTTTTCCCCAAAGCCATGTCTCCTCTTAAATGGCAAGCAACTGGCTTCTTGATCTGCCTCATGAAAATCATTTATTCCTATCTTTTATCATAATGAGGTTTCCTAAGATTCCTTTATACAGTATCATTCTGAGATTCAGCTTTGTTCTGTGGATGTTTGTTTTCTTAGGATCCTGTCTATATTCTTCTCATTTCTTTATGCTCCGGGCCTTCAAGTTAATAAGGTTTTAAAAAGGCTTTTCTTCTCTGTCTGGCTCACTGAGGCCAATTACATCTTCTCTTTTCTCAAGAATAGACCTCATCTGGTTTCTGCCCCTTGGTCCTGAATGACTTAGTAGCTCCATTTTAAAGTTCCAAGTGTAAGTACTTAGGGTTAGTACTGCCTACTTTCGATGCACTGATGGGGACTAGCCTGGCACGCACTGACGTGCTGTCTCAGACATGACATTAATAATGGTCTTAAACAAGTGAAGAGGCCCCCTCCCCCTTTGTATGCGTATGTGTGCGTCTGGTTTGTTAAGATTAAAAGACAGACGGGGAGTGGATGGTGGAGTGTCACTTCCCTCTGGAGCAGTTTGATGTTGTCTCGTGTTCGTGTCTGAAGATCCTGCAGATGGAGATGAAAGAGACGTGGGAGACAGGAGGAGGAAGTGGACACCGCCCAGTGGCCAAGAGGACCATCAGGTCTTGGGTGCCGGCCCTTGAGCAGCTGCGGGCGTCAAAACGTTTACCTCGCGTTGAAGAGAGGCCAGTGCGGTGGAAGACGCGAACACCACGCAGGGCGCTGACGTTCACACGCTGGAAACGTTCACAGACAGCAGGTCAAGACTCTGCGTTGTCCTTGGGTGTTTACATCTTTGAGTCAAGCCGATAACTTAAACACATCTGTGAATAGAGTGCATATCTCATAAGGTAGCAAAGTGCTGCCGATACCTACAGTGGCATTACTGAAGGCCAGTATTTTTAAAGTAGGAAGTTATGAGCATAAGAAATATCAGTGTTTCCTGAAGGAAGGAAGCACATTTTTAGAGGGGGCTTTTATCAGAGAAAGATGAAAACGCCCCTCCCTGTCCGGACGCTTATTTTTCCAGAGCCTGCCCAGTGAGCCGGAAGACCAAGGCCCGGACCTGAATTCTGGAAAGCCCAGGTGCTCCTACCATCCAAAGGGCACCTTGGCATACTTTGAAAAGTTTCTTTTATACTGAGAACAAGCGTTCAGCTATGCACATTCAATTTTTATAGGATTTATCTATTTGCAAAGCACATATTCACTAGTAATTGGCCATTAATTTTACAGACTTTGTAGCCAGGCAAGTAAATCAATGAGCTATTAAGTATTTTGACACGCAATTTACATATCTGATGACCTCACATCTTTTCGGAATCAAATGCTATGTAATTGTTCTGCCGTGTGTCTGTATAAATGAACATGGTAAGAAAAAGGTTAGCATTATTAAAAGAATAGCTCTACTAGAATATTCATTTGAATTTATTCGGAATGTTCATAACACTTCCAAAGGACACAGCAAAGCCTCCGTGGAGTATCCGCACATTATTTATTATCTATGGACTAAATTGATTTTTTGAAGTTGCTTTAAATTTTAAAAGCACCTTTGCTTAATATAAAAGCCCTTTAATTTTAACTGACAGATCAATTCTGAAACTTTATTTTGAAAAGAAAATGGGAAAGAATTTGTGTCTTTAGAATTAAAAGAAGTAAAAAAAATAAACCAGACATTCTAAAAAAAATAGAAGAAACCTAGTTTTTAGTACTAATGAAATAGCGGGTGACAAAACAGTTGTCTTTTTGATTTTGATCACAAAAAATAAACTGGTAGTGACAGGATGTGATGGAGAGATTTGACATCCTGGCAAATCACTGTCATTGATTCAATTATTCTAATTCTGAATAAAAGCTGTATACAGTATGTGTTTATGCTACAGTGGGCTTTTTTTTAAGTGACTGACATTCATCATATTGGTTAGACAGTTTTAAAAACCTAGTCTTTGTTTTCTACAATGTTGTCAAGAACAAATAAAGTATAATTTGTGGTATATTAAAAGCAAGCTGCTTAAAAATGCTAGTTATAACTGCCTCAAAATATTCCAATATACTTGAAAATGTATTTTGGAAATTCACTTTCTCCCAAGGAGAAAGTGAATCTTTTAAAAAATGGAGACTCTTTACTGAAATATGCAAGTTACTTTTTAACTTTCACTTTTGATCTGTTACAAGCTTTGAGATTATGGAGCTCTGATTTGAAAACCTAGTGTTTAATATGAAAACTGTTTAATATGCCACACATCCCAAAAGATGTGTATATCTGGTTAGAAGTTTGCACACCCAAGTATTGTTGGTAATCACCACAGGGTTTACGTGATGCAATGGAAATTTTTCCACCTGGTCTCAGACCTATGTTCTGTAAAAATCTCTCACCAAGCTTCAATATATGTTTTTCCCCTGGTATCCTAGTATTAACGTAGCTGTCAGCTTGAATTTCAATCCTGAATTATGTTTGTTGACATAATTTCACAGTGCTGACTTCAATGTTTAGGATTGCTAAACTGAAGACCATCAGTTCCTTTTTTCTCTGTTTCTAGCACTCAGACGCTTTGATACTTATTAACTACTACGGCAGTCTAATTATCTTGAATGGAGTCTAAATTCCAAAATGTTATTTTTGTCTCCATCAATTTAATAACAGGATACATAAATGCAAATCTATTTTATCTATGGGCAAATCCATTTTCATTAAAAAAACACCTTCACAGTTTTGTGGCAAATGACTGCTCCTGAAATACAGGAAAATGTGTTTTCATGTGCAATCTTGAATTTCATAATGTTTTATATACTTATCTGCTGTAACATGCACTTCACCATGACGGCAGGTGACTTGGAACGTGTATACTCATGACCACTGGAAGGCATCTTGAGATTTTGACATTTTTTTGAGTTTATTTAAAAGCAAAATTATTTTCTCTACATGTAGCATAAAGCACATTTCTTAAATAAAAGTATTTCTGCTGTACTATTTCTGTATAAAAAGTTGGCTAAGAGGATGAAGAACGGTGGCCTCATTTTGCAGTCCTGACTGGTCCTCCAGGATTGGAGGGTCAAATCGTTAAGAAAAATATTTACATAAGCTATTAGCAATCATAATTAGAGTGTCACAGAGTTCTGCGTGCAGCGACCGCGGAGGAATCCCTAGAAGTCCAGGTGCTTCTCGCCTCCGGCCATCGAGCCGCAGCCTGGGCCCAGCCGCCTGGCGGATGCTGCCAGGTCCTGTTTGCTCGCGCGGCTCACTGTGTCTGACAAGTCTGGAGGCAAATGCAGCCGCTATGGCGAAGGAGTGCAGGAGGAGGAAAAAAGGAAGGGAAAAATTAATGTTGCTTTCACTAGCATGCTTCAGAATACAATATTATGCTCTGTTGATCAGCATTTAGTCTTGCATATAAAATTCCTGCTAAAACATTTGCTCAGACTCAAGCCCAAGACACCTCCTGCTCCTCCTGGAATTTTACAAACTGCAGCCATTGCAGAAACAGCACAGGAGTTGGGCGGAACACGGCAGTGTCCAAACTGAAACGCGTGACGATTTTTTCTTATTTAGGGAGAGATGAACACATGGATGAGCACAAATAAAAGCACAATGGAAAAACAGCACTAATGGCAAGGTGTCCCCCCTACCCCGGGGTTCCAAAATGCAATTTTTAAAATCAAATGTGGTTTTTCAGTGATAACGCGTTCCCACAAAGGCCTATTTCTGGGTGTCTATTAGTTGATCTCATGATTTCATCTCAAGGCCTCACTTTCTCTAGGAACTTAAAACTTTCATAGAAACACCGACATCATAAAAAAGGATACCGCCTGGGTATGGTGGCTCTTGTCTGTCATCCCAACACTTTGGGAGGCTGAGGAGAGAGAACTGCTTAAGCCCAGGGGTTGGAGATCAGCCTGGGCAACTTGGCGAGACCTCGTCTCTACCACAAATCAAAAAATTAGGTGTGGTGGCGCGCACCTGTGGTTCCAGCTACTTGGAAGGCTGAGGCAGAAGGATCGCCTGAGCCCAGCAGGTCAAGGTTGCGGTGGTTGTAAGCATGCCATTGCACTCCAGCCTGGGTGACAGAGTGACACTCTGACTCAAAAAAAAACAAAACAAAGATACCAATCGGGGGTCAGTATTTTCCGTGTTCAGGCAAGTCAGCCATAGCACCTGCTAGAGGTCTGGCAAGTGTGTGCCCCTGCATAAGGCTGGGTCATATTCTCAAAGGTGCAGTGTGGCTGTGGACACCACCCGCTCCCAACTGCTTTTCTGTAGATTCAGGCTGATTTAAGCCAACCCAGTAACTGACCGAACTATAGCTGTTACCATAAGTAGGAAGACATATTCCTATTTCACATAGACTTTCTGTTTTGAAAGGATATTGGCGGTGCCTCTAATAATCAGTGCTCCTAGCTCCCAGAGTTCGTTTCACAAAAGTCCAAGCTGAAAGGAATGTAGGTGAGGCCCAAGCCCAGGACCCTGGGGTGAGGCAGGACATGTTCCCTTCATCGCAGGCAGCAGAGCCTTCCAGAGCTTTCCACTGTCCTGGAGACCACCTCCCCGGAACCCCTCACTTGGAAGACTCCCTTCAACATGAAAAACTAAGATGGAAAAGGGGAGAACCATTTTTTTTTTTTTTGTCAAAATACTGGGGTCCGCAAGCATATGTTCCAGTTAATTTCTTTGTGGAATAAATGCTTGTTTACTGTCACATAAACACAAGCTGTGTGCAGAGGATCAAAATATTTTAAAGCATTTAAAGTAATTTTTAAAAACATTCTTTCTTGATTTCAGTTTGTCTGTACTTATTTTTTAAAATACAAATATAATAGCCACGCGCGGTAGCTCATGCCCATAAGCCCTAGCTCATGCCCATAAGCCCAACACTTTGGGAGGCTGTGGTGGGAAGACTGCTTGAGCCCATGAGTTTGAGACCAATCTAGACACCATAATGAGATTTCATCTCTCAAAAAAAAAAAAAAAAAAATTAGCTGGGTATGGTGGCATGTGCAGGTAATCCTAGCTACCAGGGAGGCTGAGGCAGAAGGATCTCCTGAGCCCAGGAGGTTGAGGCTTTGGTTAGCCAAGATCAGGCCACTGCACTCCAGCTTGGGCAGTAGAGTGAGATCCAGTCTCAAAACAAACAAACAAAAAACACACAGTAACAAAGAACTAAGGATATATCTAGGATCTAGATATAACTAGGATATATATCTAGGATGAAAGACACAGCTGGGTACAATTGTTCATGTCTGTAATCCCAGCACTTTGGGAAGTAGAGGCGAGAGTAGCTTGAGTCCAGGGGTTCAAGACCAGCCTGGGCAACTTGGCAAAACCTCGTCTCTACAATAAATCAAAAAATTAGTTGGGCGTGGTGGCACGTGCTATAGTTCAAGCTACCTGGAAGGCTGTGGGTAAAGGATCGCCTGAGCCCAGCAGGTCGAGGCTGCGATGGCCTTGAGCATGCCATTGCACTCCAACCTGGGTGACAGAATGAGACTCCAACTCACACACACACAAAGGACACTGTTACACAGATGCACAATCAACAAAGATGTCAGAAAGGTCAAGAAAGTCAAGAAAAGCCATAATATTTGCATAGCAGCATCCACACAAAACTCCTTAGTACCCTGAGCACTCAGCCTGTCTGTCACTTATTAATTAAATGTCTCCTTCTTGAGTGATAAAAAAGCCAGCATACAGACATATTTGTTTCTTTGCTTTAGACAATTCTTTCATTTCTTTATGTTCTTGTTTGTTTCAGAAAGGATCTCAGGCAGAAATAAAAGCACCAGAGACTCAGTAAGCTCAGGACCCGAGGCAGGCACGTCTGGAGAGCCTGAGGGTGCAAACATCTCTGCAGGCCAACTCTTTCGGCATCCATGGGGGAGCAGGAGGGAGAGTGCCAGTCAGAGGTCTGAGTTTTAATGTTTAAGATCTTCATGAGCTGATGAGCAAAGGAAGACGGGCTGCCTGCCTGACCTAAAGGTTATCTGAAACTTTGAGAACATTACCATTAAGGGGTGTGTGTGTATGTGTGTGTGTGTGTGTAGGCATGTGCTTTTGGTTGGAACCTCACAGATGATGTCATATGGTAATTAAACTCTTTTGGAAATCAACCGGTATCAACAGATACCTTGAATCTTCTCGAAGCAAGGTGTCATGCAAGGAGACATCACACTCCTCGTTTCTTTATAATCCAGTAACTCAAAGGTGACACGCACACACAGGTAACCCTCACAGTGAACACCCCAAGTCATGCACATGAGAAAGGCAGACAGCAGAAGTCATGGTGGGAGCACACAGCAGGCTTCCCGGGTGTGAGATCTGAGCTGGGTCAGATTCTAACACGTGGTCTGAGATGTGCTTCACAGGGGACCATGTGTCTTGAAGAGGACAAGATGTGTGTGACTGAAGGGTCTGAGAAGCTGCATGGGGAGACTTGTGTTGTTCATTTGCAACCAGCATCCTGTGTTTATTTCAGAGCGCACCTAGCTGCTTGTGGACTGGCTGTTTCTCTTCTCCGCTTTTCTAGGCAGGGAATGTGAGCCAGTTGGCGGACAGCCCTTCATAGCAAAAGTAGTTAAATGTGACATGTGACATGCTTGGAAAGCTTTCAGGTTGAATGGCTTTGAAGTATAGTCAAATATCATTGGTGAGAGACTTCTGAGCACAGAAATCAGGGGCAACATGATTAACTGCTTTTTAACCAGGTGCCACTCTGTACGCTGGTAGTACAAAAGCCCAAGGAGGGTTCTGGGAAGTCCATGTGTGTGTATGACTCTGCCTGCCTTTGCAGACGATGACTTGAGCGAGCCGACTCCCTCTGCATTCTCAGGCAAGGGCTCAGCCTGCTTTCTCTTGGCGCCTCCCCCACACACCATGACAGCGCAATGCGAAGCAAGAGGAAGAGCGAGGGGTCAGGCTCCAGCCTCGTCAGGTGAGGCAGGAAGTTTTCCTCTGAGGCTTCCAAAGCATTTACACACTTGACATGTCCACGCTCAGATGCAGCTCTACCCCAGATCTGTCTTCTGAAAATATGTGCTTCAAGGTCCTCTGTGTGGCGTGGTGACCTCCTTCAGACTAGAGCTGTGAGGCTGGAGGCTGTGTGAGCTTGGAGACGCTGAAGCTTCACTGAGTAATGGTTTAAGCAAAACTCAGACTATAAATAAGACCATATTATTCCCAACCTTGTAAGCCGGGTCAAGGCATCCATCCTCCTCGTTACACCTGGGTGTCTGAGGCAAGGGCAAAGACCCAAACTGCACCTTCCATCTTGAGCTGGGATGTCATCGACCCGATCTTCCTTTCTCAGACTCAGGCAGGGAGAGACTGTAACGCAGGAGATGGCACCTGGCTGGTGCCTATTTTTCCATGAATGCCTTGTGTAAAACATGGATTTCTTATCAGCAAAGGGATCTGGGAAGGCTTTGTAACTCCCCAGCTTCCCGTACAGGCCCGGGCAACCTGCAGTCATCCCACAGGCCCATGGCTCCTTCCCCAGTGCTCCAAGGAGGCCCACAGTAAGACCAGCAGAATACTCTGGCAGATCAAGGGGACGCCTACCAAAAACCCTTAGGCCCACAGGAAGGCCAAGGTCACAGCCCCGTGTTGGCAGAGAGTTCTGCTCTGAGGCTCTAGGGGTACTGAGGCGACCGGGACTGCGCATTCTCTTCCCTCGCCCCCACTTGTCTCCTTGCTTGGTTTTGGCCACCAACTACGTTGTGTTCCTTCTGAGTCTGCAACTAAGCCGAGCACGTAGACACACAGGACTGGATTCTCTTCCTGATTCCTTTCCTCCTGCCTGCCAGGCCTGTGCTCAGCGCTTGCAGCTCCCAGGCAGAGGGGCGAAGTAATTAATCCAGATGACACCTGGAGTTGAGACCAACTGCAGGTGAACACTCACCAAAATAAGTTCAATGTACAGTTTTCTTATTTTGCCAAGACCAAACCAACCAGGTTCTGTTTGTTTTCTGAAAACAATTGATGTAGTACATTTTAACCCTTAGCAGATGAGTAGAGATTTGTTTTCATTCTTCTTTTTTTTTTTTTGAGTTGGAGTCTCGCTCTGTCACCCAGGCTAGAGTGCAGTGGCATGCTCACAGCCACTGCAGCCTTGACCTGCTGGGTTTAGGTGATCCTTCCACCTCAGCCTTCCAAGTAGCTGGAACCACAGGCATGCACCACCATGCATGGCTAATTTTTGATTTACGGTAGAGATGAGGTCATGCCAAGTTGCTCAGGCTGGTCTCGAACCCCTGAGCTTGGGCAATCCTCTTGTCTCTGCCTCCCA